GACTTGTTATTAAGTGAGTCAGCGCAGACCATGTTAAACACCCTTCCTGACTTGTGTTGCCAAAAACTTTCCATAAAAAAAAAAAAAAAACCTTAACATAATTAAACTGGAAATGGTAGCAGCAGTGAAGAGCGAAGGAGATGTAAATGGCAGTGTTCATGTGAAACACAGAATTAAAGGCACCTACCCAGAGTAAGAGTTTTTGTTTTTGTTTTTTTAAACCCATAAAACCGTATTTTCTGAGCTGCATGCCAAATAGTTTGCACAATACTGTAGAATAATTCTCTCCACACTACAGCTAAGTGGATAGCTAAAAAGAAGTGTTAGCAAATATGCTTAATACTGTGGCTTAAGTCTGCAGTTTTCTTTTGTCAGTTGTGGCACAATCAAAAAAGGGAAGCATGAAGCTATGAATAGATCTACATAAAATGAAGATCTGGTTCAACAATGTAAATACTAAATTAAAAAAAAAAATTACTAATAAACATACCCAGTAGTGATGTAGTGATTCTAAGGGCAGTTTCCCCTACCAGGAAACAAGAATCTCTTACCGCTGCTGGTAGTAAATATACTCTGATACCAAATAGTCTATAAGTAAAGCAAGCTAGAAAGTGCAATTTTTTCTTTAATTGCAAAGTAGAAACAAGTGAATGAACATACATTTGCAGTATTGCATGAATTAAAAACAATCAATGCAGCTTTTTTCAGTTTGCTTAAAAAAAAAAAAAAAAAAAAAAAGGAAAAGATTTAGCTAAACAAGGGAGGTTGAAAGGCAGTTTCTTAGAACAGCCTGTAATTTCTTCTTTGCTCAAAAGCAGTAGTGAAAAGCAGTAGCAACATTCTGACTACTTTTTTTTCCAGTGGTAAACAAGTGTCACATGGCACTTCCCAGCTTTTTACCAAATGGTCAACTATGAAGTTAACTTCACAGCAAGAACAAAAGTTCCCTTTGCAACTGTACTTCGTACAAGCACACGCAAAAGAAGTCCTGCAGTTACTGTGGATACACAGCTTATGAAGAACATAAGAAACACATTTTAAGAGATCGAGTAACCTACAAACATTATTTCTGCAAAAATATTCAAAGAAAGCAAGCTAGTGAGATCCCTACTTTAAAAAAATCTCCATATCTCTACTTAGAAATCTCCATGAAACAGTGAAGGAGGAGCAGGTAAACCTGTACAGTCAGTAAGTAGGGCATTCTATCCGGCAAGTTTAGTGAACTGCTGCTGACACCATCAGCAAACAGAGCTCAGCACTCACACTTCAAGGGAACAAGCTTGTTTGAAGTTTGGAGCACTTTAGCAGGAAAAGAGTAAGCTCCGAGCATTCAGAAACACTCAGACACTTTATACGGCACGTAGTGGAAGTGAAAGATTCACTTCTGGAAAATGCAGTCATGGGTTTTGTGGTCATTAACAAAATCATACATGGCATATTCCACGTGCAGGGAATCCACAGAGGAACAAGACAGCCTTTCTCAAGTTGTATTGCTGGAAAACAAGGATGCAGAAGTCTGTTAACAGTAAGAATTTAATGTAAGCAATTAAGTCCATCCAGCCTTTGCAATTGGAAAGGTTTTTGTTTGCTCCTAAGCTTCCTGAAAGGGGTCACCTTATTTTACCTCTCTCCATTGTTTCAGGGGTAGAAAGCTGACTGAGCTCTGTCATTAATTTCACTTTGCCTTGGAACAAGGGACTGAATCCCTGAGATGGGGTTCTCTGAACTGACTGGGATTTCTCTGGAGGAAGGCGAATTACCACGGCAAGTGCAAAACCCCAAAAGCCCATCACAAGCCTCTCCTGCAGCCCTGCTGCACGAACACAGGACAAGGCTTATGCCAGTTTGTTTCCAGCCAGCCAGGACAGGAGGAAGACAACTCGGCATCACCAGGACCGGCGCTTTTTGGGTCGCTGCTACGCATCCTTTAAGGGTTCTGTGCAGATTGCATAGACAGGTTTCGACTCACTTTTTACCATCAGCTTTCACAAACGCTACAAAGTAAACACTGCATGTTAATTTCACTCATTGTTTTCCGAGGCAGAGCGGTTGTACCGGGCACCTCAAACTCCAGCTTTGCAAGCAGAGAGCAAGAAGAACAAACAAACAAACAGACCCCGCTTCCACACAACCACCCACCAGACCGCCGAAAAGCCAAACTTTTCCCTTTTCAACCTCGCTCAGGGCAGCGTGGGACCCTCTGCGAGGCCCCTGAGGCTGCTTTTAGATATCATTTAACTTTTAAAATCCACTTATTTCCTTGGGGGGCAGGCGAGCCCCCCGCATCCCACAGCCCCATCCCGGGGCTCCAACCGCCCCCCGGCGGCCGTTACGCAACGGCCCCGCGACCTTGCGGGGTAACTTCGGCGCCCCCGAGTTTCCATTTTAATTTAATTTTATTTCTCCCCCTTTCCCGGGTGGCAGAAGCATCCCCTCGGACACACGGGCAGCCCGCAGCGAGCGGGGGGCTCTACCTGCGACACCAGCGGCACCAGCGTCTGCTCCACCGAGCGCGTGCGGATCTCCAGCCCCGCGTCCGCCCCCAGCCCCGACGAGGACGACGAGGAGACGCCGCTGCTGCTGCACGGGGACGTGGCCATGGCGGGCAGCACGACCAGACGACGACCACCGCCTTCCTCCTCCTCCTCCTCTTCGCCCCTCCAACTCCGCTGCCGCCCCGCCCCCCGCTGCCTTGCGCGGGCTCAGCCCTCAGCTCCCCCCCTGCCCGCCCCTCGGGACGGGATTTAAAGCGGCAGCGCCGCTCCTCATGGCTCCGTCCCCGGCCCCTCACGCCGCCCCTGTGCCCGCATCGCCCCCACACGGATCAAGGGTCTTGTCCCGGGGGTCCCCGCCCCGCCGTGGGGACCTCCCGGGGAACGGGAGCCGGCCTGCTGTGGGACTCGGGTTGGGCCCGGCCTCGGTGCCGAGTCGCATCGTCTGTGGTTGAATAAATCAAAAGTACTCGAAGAGGAATAAAAGTTGTTCTCCGTGTATTTGTTTCGTGTTCTGGTTTTGGAATGGGCTGAACTCGCTCCCCAGCACCAGAGCACATCATACCCATGGAGGTCTCCCCATCCAATTCGGCTCCGTTTGGTCCCACCAAGGCACATCCACACCAACCTGTGGTATCGGGACCGAGGTCCTGGCGCTGTGGGCCACTGAGGTGCAAAGCAGCTCCCACCCACAAATGAGGGAACCGAGCTCAGCACCACATGCATGCCTACACGCACTGCCCAGCGTCGAGGCGAGCAAACCGCCCTACTGCCCTACCACCACACCACAGCCCCCCAGTCGGAGCCCAGGACCTCTGTCAGGCTGCTCAGAGTTCAGACAGGGCAACCCCAAAGACATGTATCTGGCTTTCTTACCTTGTATCATTTCGTGTCTTCAGAAAGATTTCTGACCTGTCCCGCACAAAACATCCTTCTCCCAGTTTCGAAACCTGGATATAAGATGAAGGCCAGCGTTTGTTGTCCCACGGAGTTATCTATATTTATTGAAAAAAGAAAATTGCCAGAACTGCAAGTATAACCCTAGATAAAGATATGACCCTATTCCTAGCTCTTCAGGAAATTGGTTTCCAGCACCATCTCATATTTTCTAAAATGACATCTTATATAACATCGAGTGCTACATGAGAGAGATGAAGACGTAAATCTACCATGGTACAAAAACATCTAAGTGATGGCATAGGCTTGAAATAAATGCTAGTCATGTTTGATCAAAGTGGTTTAAAGCACACTCGAGATTTTTTTTTCTCCTAATTTTTATGCATTTTCTTACAAGCCATTTTCTTCTTTTCCAGGTCATTTGATTTCCCTTTACGTCTTTCTCAATACCTAGATTCTAAGCCTTGGAAAACGATTGTTATTTTCTGATATGTTTTGGTAGAGTGCTTGGGACAGCTGTGGCTGCAGCCTCGCCAAGCCTGCACACTGACCAGTACAGGAGACTCATGGATCGTATGAGTAAAGGCATACACCACACAAAGTGTCAGTAACACAAGGGAGAAGTGCCTTCCTTTGTCCTCCTCCCTCCCTACGACCTTCTATTTCGTCCTTCAGAATTGTTAATTCCCATTCATTGACTGTTTTCTAAATATTATCATAACATAAATCACATTGACATCTACAGATATGAATCTGTGATTCATATTAGAAATGAACCAGAAGCACACGCACACTTGGATGCATAATTTGGTGTGGTTAGCTAAGTTCGTGTCACTTAATTTCAAAGACTGCCGTCTGTCTTCTTCAATACTGTAGAGAGATCAGACATCAAGGGTCTGATAAACATTTTTTTATTCAAAGCCAAGTTATTAGCAGAGGTTAACAGTGAATTTTACAGATTTTGACTTTACATTGAAAAGGAAAACAAACTGGGTATGAAAAAAATGGTAGCAGTTCAAAAGTAATTTTCTGCACATTGGATGAATGATAGAAACATTACAATGACTTTCAGCAGACAGAAGTCCTGTTCCCAATCTGCCGCTCTCTATTCCTGCTTCCAATTTGTTTTCACTAGAGAAGCAATATCAGTGGGCCGTGCTAGCGACAAGAATATCTCATTCTCCCACTTCTCTTCAGGTACTTCCAGTTCAAACATGGAAACCACACGCTCTGCTTCTGGGTCCTGTGTTGGGCAAGCAGAGTGCATGCTGTGATGGTTTAATTTAACACATTTGAAAAGCTCTAGCATGCTGCAGACTAACATGTTTGAAGACTTCTCGAGGAGATCTTCAAAAATGATAGCCCGGAGCCTAATTGTGTTTTTTTAATTATGTTGAGACAGTTTGAATAAGCCAGTGTGATAGATTACAACCACACCTTTGGCATGCCAACACATACTTCTGAGGGAGCACTCTGAATTTGCAAAGCACAGCATGGGAATGCTTTGCATATGAACATTTTCATGTGATGAATTCAGGAAAGGAGCAGTCCCTCATCCCCAGAAGAATGCCCCTCATTCCTGTAATGCAGGAGGGGTATTATTGGCCAGTTTCTAGACAGCTATTACCATTTAGCTCTGCTTTTCAAATGAAAGGTATTTGAAATATAAGGATAGAGGACAAAAGTAACACCTACTAGACTATACTTCTAACTTCAAAACTTTGTCAGTGATCAAAGGGAAGGAAGTGATTCATACCTTCATAGCATTATGATCATGGCAATCTGTTCCTCCTCATTCTGTTTCCAGACTTCATTCAGGGATGTGACACCTTCTGCTCCTCTATCCATGATCTCCCACAAGCTTGGGTTCCCACACAACAGGTAAAATAGCTTTCTCTAGTCTAGCTCTTCACTTTTTTTTTTTTTTACTTTTTTTTTTTTCTTTTCCTATCTGAAGCAAGATTTTTAAGAGGAAAGATTAATATCCAGCACAGTGTTGAGCCAAAACACTGTCTTTTCTCTGATTTAATATCCCCCACACCTTGACAGTGACAATACTCCTGAGAAGGAAGGCTGTTTTGAGTTTTTATTCATAGCTAGGCTTCTGAACGTGAATGCTGGTGCCTTAGCTTTGGTGGGAATTATATGAAATATACTAATGAGTGGGCTTCTCTTGTTCTGTCTGAACCATGGCTTGTCTACAGAGGCTGTCAGTCAGCCTCACTTTGGTGATTAGCACCTTCTTTTACCTTCCAGCTAAAACATGTATTCCCTGGTCTCCTTATAGGAAAATGAGAAAAAAACACTGAAAGTGTTTTTGCTAACGTGGCCATTTTGACTGGCTTAAGGTCAGTGGCCAGGGTAGAAACCTTTTCCAGTGGGAGAAACCTTGTGTCTAACCCTTAGGAAGCAGATTGTTATACTTGTGGCATGTGTGCTGTCAAGGCAGGGGCAGTAATACAGATGCCATTGAACCAGTCAGGACAGGTTTGAACTTGTGTTTTGTGAAGAGGAGCTGCAAAGTTTCTGGCCACAGAGAGCAGTTGGTCTAGGAAACACAAACTGCAGGGAAAACAAGGAAATACTGGTAAAGACCAGCTGATGGGATCAAAGGAATTTTCAGTAGGTTTTGATAATGAGCATTTTTCCATGCATACTTATAAGTAATCAGATAAGATGTATAAATTATCTAAATTAGTAACACTTTGAGGGTGAATTCCAAAAGCAAGTAATTGTTCTTTATCCTCCCATGGAGAACATCCCAAACATCCAGGGGTGAGAGGAAGTAGTGCCACCATTGCTTCCTTATCTCACAGCTGCAGTCTGGAAAGCAGAGCTGTGTGGGCTGTGTCAGATTGCTCACCTTCAGCTCCTTTTCTCTTTCCTCCAGGTGAGAATAAAGCAAGAGCAGTGTGGGAGGGGAAATCACTTCAATCATCTTTCCATATGAAATTTAGAAATCGACTCTAAAATTAAAACTTTTCCCATGATTACCTCCAGTTGCCTCTATCACTTGACAAAGTCATATTTCTTTTCTGTTTCAGTGTGGATGCTTGAGAGCAAACTCATGAAATCAGTCATTTTAAAGATGACTAAAACTTTTAGACTTTTGAGAAATGTCAAAAGATGGGAGACAAGCATTGCTTGAAATGTCTAATCCTGATTATTAATGGTTATTAACTCCAAAGTACCTTGCTTTTCTTTATAAAGCCAAAAAACACCAACTCTTATGTTTACTTCTTACTATGTAGTAAAATACTTCACTTCACAAAAAAATAACATTTTTTTTTTTAAATGGAGAGTATTTTATGTGACTATATATTTACTACACATGTTTGTCATTTTGTGAATTACTAGTTCTGCTACATGACTGTAACAGTTATTACAGGGACTATTAAGAAGAAGAGGACGTAAAAATAATGCATAGAAATATTCCAAGGGCTACAGCTAGTGTCAATTTTTATTCTGCATGTTTATTCAGAATAAATGTTTATGCCTCTGTGCCTATACAGCCAGAGGATGGCTTCAGATCATTCTCTGACTTTACAAGGTTATAGCTGCCAAAATCTTCAGCAAGCAGCAGCTATTTGGCCATGCTACCAAATGTAGTACCCCTCCAAAACACTTCTGTTTGCCATGGCTATCAAAAACAAAATGAGGAACCTTGCTTGAATGGTCAGATATTGATAACCCATCATGGATTGACAGCCTCTTTCACAGAGCATCCAAAAATACAGTTACCCCTGTTAGTTTTCAGAGGAGTTTAAGGACTTAACATGTTTCATAACTCCTAACACCATCTAAAGACTTCTGCAAACAGTAGCTCATTTTGGGGGATAGGTTTACAGGGTAAATTACCTGTCACATGTTGACTGAGAAGTGCAAAAGTTTCAGTTAACTGATCAAAATTAAGGAAAAATATAGTCAGGGCCTGAAGAATATATCCCACCTTCTCACTGAAGTTTCTTACCCAAAGTACTTAAAGTCATAGTAGAATTGTGTCTGAGGTAAGAAAAAGCAAAGGAACAATTTTCAATCCTGTAACATGTTTTTTGTTTAAAGTTAGTATGAGACTTTATTGGCAAGGAAAGATCGACACTAATGGAGACTGCTGGAGATGCCCAAGACTTTCCCCTGTAAATCCCATGCTTTTATTTTTTTATGAATATGCTAAAATTCAAACCTTGGGTGTGGTTATCTGACAGGTGTTTGTCTCCAAAATTATTTGTTCATTTAATTTTCAGAAGAAATGGCATAGTGTGTTTTTGTTTTTTAAAGTGAGGTTAGGGGGAAAAATGCATTTGCCAAAACTGAATGATTCTTACCCTTGTTTTGTGAAGAAGATCCAGGCTGACTCAGGAAGGTAAAATTTAGTGAGATGGATGTAAACAGGATGAACAGTCAGAGAAATGCCTTTTGTCATCTCTTAATGAACAGTTTGCCTAGATTTAGATGAAAAATAGTTTTCTGAAAACTCTTTTTCTGGAGACATTTTTTTAGAATTTAGTTGAAGGCTAACAACAAAATTTTCTGAAACCTCCACATACATTAAGCAAGACTATTTTTTGAGAGCTTAGTATACAGGACAAATGTGAAGAGTAGGAATAAATGAGAATATGGCAAGCTGAAGGAGAGCACAACAAATGATGTGAGAACAAGGGCCAGAGTATGAGAGGGCTGCGTAGGAGGACCTAACTCTGTGCTGGTTTTCATCATTCTCCAGCTGCAGGAATTACCTTCAAAAGTCTCCTCCGTGTGACAATCAGGGACTTCCATCTTTTCCACAGGTACGAGATATTGCAGAAGTTCAGACTGTTTTGTAGTCAAGTCTGGTACCCTTTTTTTTTTTTTTTCCTTTATTTTTAGTTTCCCTGCATTGTCCTTTAAAAATATTAGTGATGTATGGACATGAGTCTAGCATTTACTGAGAGTGGTGTGACAGCTTCTAGAGGTGAAACGCCTCTTCTGTTTAGTGTCACCTGTGAATTTGGGCTTTTCATCTGAAAAGTACAGTTTCATCTTGAAACTTGAGTAGAAATTACAGTGCATTTTTATAAAATCATATCCTAGGAATGGTGGAGCATGGGACCTTTTTGAAACTAACACTATTTAGCAGTGATTTAATGTACTCTTCAAAACTCTCAATGCTGCTGTAACATATCAGGTAAAATCAGTTCTTGGATGGTCTGTTCCTGAATGATAAGCAATAATTTGGGCTTGTTTTCTTTGCAGTCTATGACATTCTTCTTTCATACATTTTTATTTTTCACAGGACTGTGGCTGTGGCTTGTTACTTCTATGATCCTGTTCTAAACAATAGCTAAGACACTAGTTTTAGGAAAAGGTATGAGCAGCCTCACAATGCAGGATGATCTTCCTTTTGGAAAGTCTTAAACAGGCCTGTAGTTAGGGATTAGATTAATCTTTGATGCAAAATGTTTTCTTTCTTTCAAATCTTTTATCATCCTAGTACTGAGCATTTTTTTTTAACCATTCCTGTAGGCTATAAAATATATATGGAGGATTAAAGGTTTGAAGAAATCTCTAGCCTGCAAAATCTCTAAGAGCATTTGCCACCTAGCAACAGCCAGGACCATGTGTGTGCTTCGAACAATCAGGAATTGGGTGATTCACAAGAAACCTCCACGCTGCTTATAAGCAGGACTGTAACTTCTGGAGGAAGGAAAAACACAGCAAAAGATTCGGGTTACATCACTGACAAAGGGGTTTCATTACCATAAGAAGTCCCTCACAGGGTGACAAATAATCAAGATGAAAAAGAATGTGTGAGAGCAGCAGAAAGGGAAACAATGACGTTCCTATTACAGCAGTGGCCTTTACAATAAATGATATGTCAGCTTTTTCATTTTGAATTGTGCTGAATAAGTTGGTCATTTTAATTCATCAGCAAATGAATACTTAGATTAGAAGCTATTTTCTTTTCAAATTTGCATTTACCAGCTTAGTCATGCAATAAATACCACATTCCTTGAGAAGCTGGAATTATCTGCATATTATTTTTAAACGTACTGTTTGCAAACGTTAGCGATTCACAAATACAGGTACTCTGTTAGTTTGCATGGGGATATGCAGGGAAAGTATGGGAATATTATGAGAGGGAGTGTAATTGCAACATGCATGAGCTGGCTATCCAAATCCCATTGGTCCACATTTTTGTGATGCTAATGAATATGTAGGAAAAATTACACAGCTGCTAAGGCACAGGAATTCTTCTTAGCCTACTCTTCTGCATAAGCTTTTGCAACATCTATGAATGTGTTTCTTTGTATATCAGTTATCCCATTCACTCTATTTTCCTACTTTTTTTTTTTCCCTTCTTAGAGGAAAGAAACAAGGGATATTCAAGGACACTGTGTCTTTCATACCTCCCAGACCTCTGAACTGTTGATACTTGTTAAGGAATTTTACCCATGTGACATTCTTAAATTAACCTGGATCTTTAGTAAAAAAAAAAAAAAAAAAAAGCAGCTTCTAGACTTGTGACTGTATTGTTTAAACTTCCCTATTATCAGGGTACTAAAAAAATACTTTCTTTCAATATATGGTATTTTTAGAACACAGGCTATAGTGTCTCAGTTAACAAACCAACAAATACATGATTAATATGCATTGCTAACAAACTACTTTTAAAATGCTTGAAGATGGTGCTTTGTTCCTAAATTAGACTACTTTACTATTTGGAGAAATCATTAGCCTAGCCCCTTACAGGCAGCTGGTAGGATTCAATTCTCTTTCTGGCAGCAGGAGAGTACATGCTGGAGTATCAGAATTGGAGCAGAAAATTGTAAGTGCAGCTGAAATGGAAAGGGAAGCAGCAAGCTATTGCCAAGGGAACACAGGGATTTTTGTAATAAGTGCGT